AAATTCTTTTTCAATGCTCAGTTTATCTTTTGAAAACAACTAATTTCTTGATTACCGTAAAAACTCCAAAATTTTGACCGGTTTTAAATAATTTGTGTTGGAAATGTGACGCGTTTTTAGAGTCAAAATTAAGGTGCATTTTCGGGCGGCCGAATTTTTCAGAATAGAAATCAGCAAATGAAAAAAATGGGGATAATAGACAGTGTGCTTCGTTAGATTTTAAAAAGTGCAATGTCTGTCAATTGACGTAAACTTCCCCATGTTTCACGGTAAAAAGCAAAGGTCGTGGCCGAGTTGTAGGCTAAACAGCTCAAAATCAAAACAAAGTCATCAATCAGTGAGTATTATGACAAGGAAAACAAAACATCAAGATGCGGAGAGGAGGTCAGCACAAAACTAATAGGTCAAAAGACAAAGCTGTCTCGCACTACCTAGGAAAACTTGCGAATGTTCGAAGTACAGGTACCCATTGAACAAAAGATACATAGAAGTTTAGCAATCTCCCTGACCCAGTGCAATGTATCCCGTTAGAATCAAAGCTCACGTATCCCTTATTTGAGGGACCAGATTCTGCCGTAAATTCGCCCTTGGATTAAAAAATAAAATGGGATTTAAGAAAATAAAATGGGACATTTAAGGTGTATTTTGGCGTCATTTTTCGGACATTTCAATCATTCCTGACGGCTAAAATAGTCTAAGTTTTACCGTAGTCATTGACGTCTATTCAAGAGTATGATTTTTATCGTGACTAGCGTGAACGGGTAAGCTTCGTTTCGACAATGAGCTGTTATCACTGTAAACAATGTTAAATTATTCTTCAAATGCCCAGTTTATTTTTAAAAACAACTAATTTTTTGATTTAAAAAAAAATCGTACCGTTTTCGCATCAAAATCCAAGCCAAAAGATCGTACTACAACATCGATCTCTTCCGCATTGCGTTCAATAACATTAACATATTTAAATAAGCTATGGTAATTTGAACACGTTGGCATCATCCAGCTTTTTGGTTGGTTGATTGGAGTCGAAAATATCTTTTTTTACCAAAATTGACAAAAATATTCACCAAAATTAGAGAATTAAAGATATCATTACAAAATGAACAAATCTGAGAGAGGTCCACATGTAGTACCTACATGTAATATCAAAGCAATTGGACTTACGGTTTTTAACTAGAAGTCGAAAATATCACTTTTTACCAAAAATGACAAAAATATTCACCACAATTAGAGAATTAAAGATATCATTACAAAATGAACAAATCTGAGAGAGGTCTACCCAAGGTACATATACACCAAGTATCAAAGCATTCAGGCTTCTAGTTTTCAAGAAGAAGTGGAAAAAGTAAAACATTGACATGGGTGATTACGGACAATCACTCATATGATAAGCTCCGCTTGACAAAGTCGACAGCGGAGCTAAAAAAAACTTTTGGATGACGTATAGGATTGTTATAATAGCATGCTTTAAAGTTATTTCGTGTTTTTATTTTCGTGATTGTTAGTTCATTTTTACAACAACGTATTCTTATTTTATTAGTACTTGTTTTATTAACAATGGCCCACCAAAAATGTTATTGATGCATTGGTATGATGATTAGTTCGTTTCCTAGTCCATGCATTATTATAGGTCTGTGGATTGTAAATTACTTACTTATGGAGATACAGTAGAGAACATACTAAAGCAAATTCTTTCAATTCCCTTAACCCTTTTCCGGACAAGTCGGTGAAAAACCACTGTCAATATGGGTATGCTAGAATTTACCACTCCAGCTAGCTAACTGTTTAAGTCGTTGAAAAACGACCTGCTATTTAGGTTGCTCAGACGGTCCAGCGTTTATAATACGTTGTACGGAACCTGATATTTTACAATTTCGAAATTATGGAGGGAGAAAATTTGTTTTCGATTCTGCCAAGTCAAATAAACTAACCGAGTAATAAAGAATGTAATTCTATACACTTGTCTGCTCATTTAACTATTTTACTGTTACAATGCGACGTTTGCGACGACGTAAAAAAAAACGCCTTGACCACATTGCAAACTGCAGCATTACAACAGTATTTGAACGATACGATTCACAACATTTGACGTCGGTGAGTTACCAGCCGAACATACCACGGACACCAGTGATAATAGTCCACTCAAGAAAAGGCGTAAAAAGAAAAAGAACAAACGCAAGTCGGAGACTGTCTATTCTGTCAACGAACATGTGATTACAGAAGAAAGCCGTATGAAGGACTGCGGGGGCAAACCAGGAGGCAAACGTAAATCGAAGACAAACCGTAAAAGTGATTCAATTGCCAGTTGCTGACGAAGCAAATGCCGAAGAAACGGGAGTTGGTCACGCAGAAATACAAACTGCCGTTGAAGATGTGATACAATTTTTGCAAGATAATGTTTGCGATTCCGAACCGTCGACATCCGCCACAACTGCCAACACAGAAAAGCAGGGGCCTGGACAACAAAACGTTGATGTCGCCAAAGAAATGGTACAAGAAAATCTATGCAATACAGAACAATCAACACTTGCGAGTTTCTCTGAAAAACAAACTATTAAATCAAAGAAAGCTTAGAAAGAATTCCTGAATGCTGAGAGTATTGAAGACACATTAAAAATTAATTCAAAATTACTTGTACCCAAGATATTGATGGAAAAACTGGAAACTAATTATGTAAATCAGGTAAATAATATGAACAGAACAGAACAAAAAAAATATGAATTATTACGCTAATTAGAGAATTTATATGAACAAATTTTAACCCAAAATTAATCAGACTTGTCTATTGTCCTAGAGCATTCATGTACCAAATTTTATTCAAATGTGATGATCAGTAATTGAGATATCAGTGTTAATTAATTATGTTAATTAGGTGATTAATAAGCATAAATATTGACCAAAAACTAATTGGTCTCTGCATAGTTCTAGATTCATTGAAATGTGATGACGAGTACTCTTTAAAAGTTTCATTAAAATCCAATCGTAGTTCTTTATATATCAGTGGAACATTCATAGAAACAATTAACTAATTATGCAAATTAGGTAATTAATATCCACAATTATTCACCCTAAAACTAATCAGGTCTTCGCATAGTACTAGAAGATCTATGAAGCAAGTCTCATTGAAATATGATGATTAGTACTTGAAATATCAAAAGCTGAAAATAATTAATTATGCAAATTAAGTAATTAATATGTACTCATATTCCCCTAAAAACTATCAGGTCTGTGCAGTGTCCTATGACATCTATGTACCAAGTTCCATTGAAATGT